ACGCCCGGTACAGTTGACCCCATCGTGAGCGCATACTGACGAAGCACGAGCGTCTGCCACAGCTGCGGCTCGGTCGTCGCGTCACGCATGAGCATTTGGAGGCGGCGAAGGCGCTGGGCGCTGAGCTGCGACGCGATGAGCGGCACGCTGAGCCCGAGGCGCTTGTCGTGGTGCCAGCGTCGTGCAATGTGCGGGTTGTAGCCGTCGCTGGTCGCCGTCTTGCGACAGAGGATGAACTTGGTGACCATGGACTGCCACGTGGCGACCATGGCATCCGGGACCGCTGTGACCGCCGTGATATGCCCCAGCAGCGACAGCAGTACGGTGTAAGGCGCCGCCCTTGAGCATGGAAAAGATTGGGCTGGTACACGACGCCCGGATGCCATCCGGATAAGTTAGTCGAACAAGAAAGATCACTTCGAGAAAGATCCGTCGAATCTGCGGCCACGCATACGAGGATCACTTGCCAATTGACGACCATGGTTCACCCGACGCTGAAGCTATCGTACTTTGACATGGCCGGTCGTGCCGAGCTCACGCGCCTCGCGCTCTACGTGGCCGACATCCCGTTCGAGGACGAACGCCTCACTGGCGAGCAGTTTGCCGCGCGTAAGCAAAGCCTCCCGTTCAAGCAGTTGCCGACGCTCACGGTCAATGGCAATGTGCTGGCGCAGTCGCACGCGATGGCGCGGTACGCTGCGAGCCTCGGTGGCTTGTACCCGGCGGCCGACCCACTGGCGGCCTACCGCGTCGACGAGATCCTCGCCGCGAGCCAAGACGTCTTGGACGCACTCATTGTGGCGGCGTTTTCGCGCGATGCGGCCGCCAAGCCGGCGCTCATCAAGGATCTCGTAGAGACGAAGCTGCCGACGATGCTGCCGTGCATCGAGGCGCGCCTCACATCCAGTGGCAAGTACTTTCTTGGCGACACGCTCACGCTGGCCGACCTCGAGCTCTACTTGATGTGGGGCAACCTTACGTCGGGCAAGTGGGAAGGCGTCCCGACGACCATCGCGGACGGCTACACGCGCTGGAAGGCGCTCGCCGCCGCCGTCAGCGCCCACCCGCGGGTCCAAGCTTGGAATGCTGCGCACCCGGCCCAATAGGACGCATCATCCATGTTGACTTTCTGACATGAGTGCCGCCCACGACCCTTATTCGTAAAATGAATAAGCAATGCACTCTGTGTTACCAAATGCATGATTTGTCTTCGAACAGCCCACCGATTTGCTATCCACAACAGAGTACTACGGTAGAATCTGCGTCAAATCACTGTACATGAGGTGCATGTAGGCCTCGCACGCCGTGCGAAGCCGGTCTGGCTGCTAATGTACTGGGAATCAGCCTTTCTGACTCCAATGGAATGCATTTCTCTGGTGACTCATCGCTATAAATTACATTCGGCGAGACTGGAATCGCCGAGAATTGTTGAAGGACTGACATGCTCCTTTAGCCACGCAAGAGACAGAAAAAGGTGCTAAAATTGGTGGCTTTTAAAGTTACAGCTCATCCTCGTCAGATCCCTCATCGTCCTCGGAGCTCGCATCGCTACTCGAATCGGACGACGACACGGTCGACGGCGGAATGCTGGCCGAGCTGTCAGAGTCGCCCGTCAGATCGATGGTGGCCACCGCCTGCTTTTTCTGTGCGACCCGTGGGCGTTTTTGGGACGAGGACCACTGTCATCGCCTTCTTCGTAGTCGGACGCGTCGTCGGGGCTCGAAGCACTGGACTCGAACATGTCGGAGTGGTAGATGGGCTGCGGCCGAGGGCGCTTTGGTGCAACGATCATTTGTCGCTTAATGGCTGTTGGCAACTTGACCCGGACCACGCACGCCATGTCTCTGGGTGGTGACAGCGGCGGAGCTTCGTCGGGTGGCGGCGGCGGTGCTTCGTCGGGTGGCGGCGGCGGTGCTTCGTCGGACGATGACGATGACGACGACGACGACGAAATGCTATTGTAATCGTCGCTCGACGCGGCGTACGTTGCACCGACATCAATGCCGGGTGGTGGGAGGAACGGAAGAGGTGGTGGCGGAGGCGATCGCGGAGGTGGGCCAACAATGTCTCGACTCGGCGGCGTGAGAAATGAGTTACCTCCGGGCAAGCTTGCGTCGAGAGGCAGTTCGACGCCCGGTGGACTTGGTGACGTCTCTGTTGGTCGCGGTGCATCGTTTGCCGGCGTGACCAGAACGTCGATTGCCTCCGCGCTCACTTGGTCATGACGGTCGTTGTGACTTGACACGGCTGCGTCATCAATGTCTTCGACCAGATCGAGCGGTTGTTCATCGCGGGCTTCGTCGACTCGGTGCAACAATGATGATGGTGCTCCATCGGCGATTTGGATTGGAACAGGCGCCGCCATGTTGCTCGACGCCTCGATGACGACCGATGCATCATCATCTTGCTCGTCGTGCGCGTCGACTTGATGCGGATTGGGTTGCGGCGTGGCGCGTGCTGCAGAGGCGTCAACAGCGCGAAGCGCAGACGTTGGCTCAACACCGAGGGTACCGGCGTGCGCTGGTTCGTTGTCGTCGTCATCCGAGTCGTCGATCTCGATCGTGTGGTGGTACGGTGCTACCTTATGACGGACACGATCACCGTTGCCCCGAGCTGCGTCGCCACAGCCGAGCGACGCCGCTAAACTACATGGGGTGTTGTCGTTTATCGAGGCACGTCGGACGGCGCCTTGCAGCTCTGTAGCCAACTTTGCCGCCATCTTTTCGACGAAGCTACCACCGTTGCTATCGGGCGCGGAGCGGTCGTCTGTGGTCGCGAATGGTACCTCGACCGATGCAACGCTGTCTTCAACAGCGTTGAGTGGCGCCGCGAGCTTTCCGTCATCACCGCCCACATCGCTGACGTCGAGCGCGTCATCACCGTCCACGTCGCCGACGTCGAGCGCGTCATCGCCTTGGACTACGTCGGCGGGCGTGCCGCCGCCCGTCGCAGCGCTTGGGAGCGCATCAACACTGGCATCGTGAGTGACAGCGAGCAGCTGCGACGCGCTTTCAGTGTTGACGTCGTGCCCGTTGTTGGAGGCGTCTTGAAGCAGCTCGTCGTCGTCGTCATCGTCGTCATCGAGAATTTCAAAGACTTCGACAAACTCGTCGTTGACGTCGTCTTCTTCGTCCCCACGCGCGTTGGCCGTCGCATCGTTTTCATCCACGACCATGTCGTCATCGCTGTCCTCGACCTCAAAGACCTCGACAAAAATCTCTTCTGTCTCGCTCGCATCGTCTTCGCTCACTGCGCTCGTGACGTCAGCCGCTTGGCGATGGTGACCACCGTCACACGTGTCCAAGTCAACGACGGGGACGGAGTTGTGCTTGGAGTTTTTCTCGGGCACGAGAACGTCGGCGTCACCCAAGAGCGGCGTCGCTGCGTCGCGTCGAGAAATGCCGTCGGCGGTGATTGGGTCGTGGACTAACGTCGCTTGGGCAACGGCGGCGTTGACGTCTTGTGTGAGCGCTGCCGCACGCTCCGGGTCGACTGCGTCAGAGATCACGGGCACCACTGGGGTTGGCGTAGGCTCGTCAGCACACGTCACGACTTTGTTGTTCGAGCCGGGCACACATAGAGCGTTGGCGGCGGCCACATCAGGCGTGCCGGTACCGTCGTCGATGGTCGCTGCCTCAATGGGTGCCTTGTCGACCTCCACAGGCGCGATGATGTCGGTTGAAGCAGACTCTTGAACGTCAGGTAGACCCTCGGATGCATCGTTAGCCGCCCTTGTCGGGCTCGACATGGGATGATGATCGACACCCATGGTGGTGCTGGGCATCTTGGCATCTACGGACGCAGACGTTTGTGACACGGCTTCTTCGTCGTCGAGTGGCTCGGGTGCGCGGTGGATGTCGTCTTGGTGAGGCGGTGCACGCATCCCGTCGTGAGCGTCCACAACGACGGCGGTCCTCGCTGCGCCTTCGGCGAGCACTTTCTCCAGACCCGACGTCGTGAGTGCCGCGCTTCGCAGCGCCTCGTCGTCGTCTTCGTTTTGGCCCACCACGAGGCTGGTCACATTGGTCGTCAAAGGGTCGCGAGGCAGGTCCACTTGGGTGTCATCGGTGCGCTCACGACCACAGTCGTTGCCAGCGACGTTCGTCGAAACACCGTCTTCTAACGGATGCACGAAGGCACGTTCTGTCGTGCCATAATCGCTACCGAGCATTGGGCCGAGCGACGGTGCATCGTCGTCGCTTGCCAGATCCATGTTCCACCCAATGCCGTCGTCATAGTGCTCGTCGATGCGGCTGGACGACGTTGACATGATCGAACTCGCCGGTGAGAGCGGGGCTGCTTGGCGCCACTCGGCCTCATCGTTGGAGGCCGGTGACATGTGCCCGGAACGACCGACGTCGATGGTCGAACTCGGCTCCGAGTCGCTGCCGTAGTCGTCCAGGACTTCGACGCGCGACATCTTTAGCACGCGCTGCGCCATCGAGCTCCCATGCGACCGAGATCGCTTGCGCGGCACGTCGGCTGACACGAGCGTCGACGGGATCGCGTCAGCCAGCAGGTCCATGACCGCACTCCGTGCTGGCGGTCGGTCATTGCATACATCTTGTAGCAGCAACAGGCTCGCCGGCGACTGGATCTTGCGCGCAATATCTAAAATGCCCTTGGGCGCGGCGGCCGGTGGTGGTGCCTTCGTCTCTTCGTTCTCGTCGTCGCTCGAGAAGGCCGCACCGACCGATGCGACGACACGCGACAGTTCGCGAGGTGCCTTCCGTCGGCGCGGCGATGACCGTCGTAGGCCGCTCGAGACGCGCCGGCATGGACAGTAGAAGCTCGGGTAGATGCGGCCAGGGCTCACGGCGTACCATTGCCCCGACGAGAGGCCGTGAAACTCAAACGAGACAAGCGTGCCTTCGTGGAAGAGCCCCGCGAGCGACTCTTCGAATTCGACTTCGATGTCCTTGGCGCCGTCCACGGGCGGCTTGTGCCGGCAGACGGTCAGTGCCACGAACCGCCCGTCCCGAGGCATGTCCTGGGCAACGTGCATGTACGAGGTGAAGGATGCGACGACACGGACGCCGGCCGCGCGCTGCGAGAGCGCCGTTGCAATCAGCGGGCCAAAGCTTTCGCGCGTCGCCGCGTCCAGCGCGCCTTCGCCGAGGCACGCTGCGTAGAGCGACAGGCGGCCGCGCTCGGTCGCCATGTCCACATCAAGCGCTTTTCGCCCGAGGATCGTGTGGCGCATCGTGTTGATGCCGCCGGGAAGGCGGTGCTTCAAGCAGTGCGAGTCCGCGAGCTCCTTGAGCGCGCAGTTGGCCAGTAGCCGGGGCACTCGGAGCGTTTCTTCCGAGAGTCCTCGGGCGTCGCCGACCTCGTCGACGTAGGCAGCTGCGATCTTGGCAGCCATCGTAAACACGAGGTGGATGTGACGGTCATAGTCCGCCGCCCGCGTCGATTCTTTCAGGAGCTTGGACATGGCGCGGACAAGTGGAAACGTGCGCGTGAGGTAGAGGCCAAGCCAGTCCTCGAGCTTGGTCGCCATGGCGCTTGGAGACGGGTCGCCAAGGGAGCTCGCGCCATTGAGGAAGTTGCGCGCCATGTACGCCGCGAGGTACGCCTGCTTCCAGTCGTTCCGATCGTACAGGATACGGTCCATGAGCTTTTGTTCGGCCGGCGTTGGTGGCGCAGGCTCAATGTCGCCATACTTGTCACGCTTTGGCTTGGCTACGTGTGCATGGCCCGGCGGCGTGTGAGCTCGAGACGGTGGCTTCCACCCTTGGGCTAACGGCGTCCGTGGCACCTTACGCTCACGCGCCGGCTTCTTGCGCGCGTGGGCTGGCGCATTCTGTGGGTGCGCCTGTCGGCCATACGATGACGGCTTCCGCCCGGGGACCGGCGCGCTTCGGGCGCGGTCGTACGTCTTGTGCTTGGGGTCGCTGCGGCGCGCTCCGCCACTGCGGTCGGACATTGCCATTGATATATCCTACTTCGAAGCCGTATCCGGATACGCAGGTCAACTGGAACGTCATTGGATGTATATAGTGTTAGTTAGAGCGGGTCGGTCCTCGTGTCGAGCTCGTAAAACCGACTCGACTCGTCGTCAAGGAGGAGCACAGCGACCTCTTCTTGTGCGCTGGGAACAGTTTGCTGTTAGACATACCAGTACGATAGACGCTCGCAGCGACGTGTGCGCGTGGACCGCGTTGGAAAGACGATTTAATTAGTCTACGACATGAAATAGTGTCTTGGTTGTCGAGACGGCGCAGTTGAAGAGTCGCGGGATCTTGTCGCGATGGACGACATCACGCGCTGGGTCCGCCGGCTCGTGTGCAAGGGCCTCGACGTCGACGACGACGTGTACAACCGCGTCTTTGAGGAGACGTCCAAGACCACCAAGGTACAGGCGCCGATCGCATGCGAGGCTCATGCTCCAGGCAGAAGCCGCCGACGCGCGACTTGTACCGTAAGTTCTTCTCGAGCGAGACGGCTGCGGGCAACGTCCTCTTCTTCTACACGACGCAGTACGAGGTCGAGGTGGAAGGTACTTAACATGCGCGTCACGATGTGTCTCATGCGTCGCCTAGTCGAGGTCGAAGAAGAGGTCGATGCGCCGCCCAAGGCGATCGCTGCCGAGGCGCCGTGCCCAGGTGCACCAACTGCATCGAAACAAAGCCTCATGGAGAGGTAGAAGAGCCGACAGCAGACGACGCGGCTACTAGCAGCAACAACAACGGCTTGCCTGGTCCTGTGACCGTCGAGCAAGACGAGCGCGACTTGGCCGCACCTGCCGCCGAGAAGGTCAAGACGATTCGCCGCATCACGACGCGGGTATCCCTTGCCATCGTATGCATGGTGTATTGATGCGTGATTATGCTGCAGGAAGCCAAGGACATGTGCAACGTAAGCTTGAACGTGCTGCCATTGCACGACGGCCCGTGCGTCTTTTTCATCAAGAGCGGCGACGGGCCCGTCGCGCTTCTCTCAAGCGAGGCCGAAGACAGTGCGAGCAACATTGAAGTCGGGTGCTCGACGGGCGATCTACTCTCGAACCTCGAGGGCGTCATCTGCCACGTGTTCATCCCCGTGCTCGACCCCAAGCTCCTCGCCGAGGGGGGGTACGAGACCGAGCTCACGGACGCCCACCACGCGCTCAAGGTAGGCGTCTTTTGTGCACAAGAATAGGCATCGATGCACCGTGGTAGGTCATTGACGCGGTCCGAAACGAGTTTCGGGGCAACCTCGTCAAATTTGCGTCGCAAATCTCCAATGCGATGCAGCAGATCCAAGGCGACGTGCACCTCGTGATCCCACCCGTCACGATCGAGAAGCCCGAAGCGTGTCTCGATGACTACGAACTCATCAACACGGTTCCAAGATCCTCAAATTGTCTGCAAGTCTCATCGCCCACGTAGCTCGAGCAAGCGCTGGAAGAGTGGTACAAGGTCGTCGCGATGGTTGTCGACCAAGAGGCGCGCAAGGCTCCGAAGCGCAAGGGTCCGTTGGCCGAAATTGAGTTTTGGCGCGAACGCAACGCGACGTTGAGTACGATTTTTGAGCAAATCAACATGCCCCACGTGCAAAAGATGCTCACGCTGCTCGAGCTCGTCGAAGCCGCGATGCTCTCGACGTTCCGGTATCATTTCTCCGAGCTCAGCAAGCAGTACATCGAGGCCAAGGACAACGTCAAGTTCCTCACGACACTCGAACGCCACTTTAAAAACCTCGCGGTCGGCTCGTTTGGGACAATCGCGGACACGCTGCCGTCGATGATGAACGCGATCCGCATGGTCTGGATCATCTCGCGCCACTACAACACGGACGAGCGCATGGTGCCGCTCATGGAGCGCATTGCGTCCGAGATTGCCGACAAGGTCGCCGGCGCCATCAACATTCACACGTTTCTCCGCAAGCCGCCCGAGACGGCGCTGCATGCGATCGAAGAGGCAAAAATGGTGCTCGATTTGTGGTACACGACGTACATGAAGGTCCGGGAGCGCATCGAAGCCAGCGGGACCGACCATCGATGGGAGTTTGACCGAAAGCGGCTTTTCGACCAAACCAACTACATGGCCAAGATTTGTGAGAACCTCCAAGAAGTCGCGACGGTCCTCGACCAGTTTCATAAATTTCTCGGGCCGGAGCTCAAGAGCGTCACGGGCGACTCGCAAGGCATTGACGACGTCATGGCGCGCGTCGAGAGTCTCATTGCGCCGTTCGAAAACGTTCCGTTCCGCATCTTTGACCGCGGCTACAAGACGAGCTGGGAGTCGGTCATGGTGCAATTTCGGGAAAAAGTCGTCGAGATCGAGACCATGACGCGCAAGTTCATCGACACGTCGTTCCAGAAGCTTCGGTCGGCGGAAGGCGCGTTCGACTTGCTCCAAAACTTTCAAAACATCCAGTCCCGCGACTCGATCAACAAGCAAATGATGGAAAAGTACAAGGACATTTTGATGCAGTACAGCAAGGAGCTCGAGAAACTCACCGAGCAGTTTGAGCTCAACAAGGCGCGGCCGCCGATTTACAAGTCGCACCCGCCCGTCGCCGGCGCCATTGCGTGGGCCCGCGCCCTCTACCACCGCGCCAAGAAGCCCATTATGCGCTTCCGGGCCATGCACGATTTGCTCAAGTCGCCCCACGGCGAAGAAGTCAAGGAAAAATACCTCGTGTTTGCGCGCGCCGTCGATGCGTACATCCGGAGCCTCCATCTCGAGTGGAAAGAAAAGGTGCCGTCCACAACGAACGAGCATTTGAAGCAGCCGATCTTGGGGCCGCCGCTCCTCGAGACGAGCAAGATCGAGAACGGGTCGCCGGTGCTCAAGCTGCCGCCGCCGCCGTTTTACCCCAACTTTGCGCCCGAGCTCTCCATGATCATCCGCGAAGCCAAGTACATGGACCGGCTCGGCTTTGACATCCCCGAAGAGGCGCTCAACGTGACGCTGCAAGAAGACAAGTACCACCAGATTGTGCAGGATCTCAAGGGCATGCTCAAGCAGTACGACGCACTTCTCAAGAGCCTCTCGCCCGTTGAGACCTACCTTCTCCGCGGGCAACTCAAAGACCTCGACGACGCGCTCCGCGTCGGCTTTTACCCGCTCAATTGGAACTCGCAGCGCATCTTTTCGTTCATTGAAGCGTCGCTGAAAGCGCTCAACCAGTTTGGCAACATCGTCTCCCAAGTCCACAAGAGCGCCAAGATGATCGAAGAGGTTGTCGTGACGATCGAGAACACGATGCTCATCAAGATCAGCGACTACGAGGACGGCGTCGTGACCGAAGTCGGCGAGTTTTACGAGCTCATGGAGCGCAACCGCGTCGCGCGCATTGACGAGCTCGTGCAGAACTACCGGAGCATCGGACCGCTGCTCATCAAGGTCGAGGAGGTTGTCGCTGGCGTCAACACGGGATGCAGCCCCAAGCTCGCAACCTACTACATGTACTGGGAGCGGCGCGTCTTTAACGCGATCACAAAGATGATCATTGGCTCGATGACGACGTTTCAAGCGCTTTTGAACGTGCACCAAAAGGACGTGTTTCGACAAACCAACCACGAAGCCAACAAGCTCAAGCGCCCGCCGCTCTGCAAGATCAAGGCGACCATGAATGGCAAAGACATTGTGGTGACGCCGACTCTCAGCGACATGTACAAGTATCTGAGCAAGTGCGTCAAGCACATTGTCGAGAGTGCGAAAGCGTTCGCGCGCTGGATGCATGGCACGTGCCGCGAAACCGAGCCCCAAGTCGCGTCCGAGGACGACGAGCCCGTCACGTTTACGTTCTACAACGACATTTCGCAAAACCCGTATGTGATCAAGATGACGCTGTCGCTCAACCAAGAGATCCACAAGGTCTTCAACATTATCAACAAGTACCTCGACTCGTGGCGCCGGTACGACACGGTCTACGCGCTCTGGAACCCGAAGCGTCGCGCGGCCTTGGACAAGCTCGCAGACAAGAAGCCGAGCTGCGTCTACTTCGACGCGCGCATGGCGTCGTATGCGCGCCTCGCGGATAGCGTGCGGAGCCAGCCGACCGAGAAGGAAACGGACTTTCTTCAAATCAACTGCTTTGCGGTTGCGGTCGCGATTGCCAAACAGGCCGAGAAATGGAAAGACGACTATGGTCAGATTTTGCTCGAGCTCTCGACCAAGAAGCTCGCGGCCAGCGTCGCCATCATGGATGGCTTTGAGAAGGAGCTTCTGGCGGCGCCGACGGACCTCGCGTCGCTAAAGACGCTTTTAAACACGATCGCGCGCATCTCGGCCTCGAGTATGGAGATGGAGCTCGACTACTGCGACATTGCCGAGCGGTACCGGACGCTGCAGACGTACGCAATCGCAATGCAAGACGGCGGCGCCGAGGCCACGCGCGCGTTTGAGCTCGAGTCGCGCTGGAAGAGCCTCGTGATCGCGAGCAAGACCAAGGATCTGCGGCTCATCCACGTCAAGGACCAGTTCCGAGTCGTGACCAAACAAGACACGGCGGCGTTTGCGATCGACTGCAAGGCGATGCGGTCCGACTTTTTCTCGACCGGACCTGGCGGAACCCTCTCCGACTTGGACGCGGGCTTGGAGCTCGTGACCGAGTACAAGGCGCGGCTCGCGGCGTTCAAGAACAAGCGCCAAGAGCTCGTGAACGCTGAGAACCTCTTTAGCCTCCCGTTGAGCGCGTACCCGGAGCTCCAAGAGGTGGCCGACGCGCTCGAGAAGCACGAACGCGTCTACGCCCTCTACATTGAGCAAAAGGAGTTTATCACGGGCATGTCGGGCGTGCTCTGGGGCGAGCTCGACGTCGGCTTTATGACCAAGGGCATCGATGAGCTCGAAAAGACGTGCCGCAAATTTCCAAAGGAGCTTCGCGCGATGGCCACGTTCCAAGAAGTCGAAAAGCAGATCTTCGCGTTCAAGGAGAGCATCCCGCTCATTGCGTCGCTAAAGAACGACGCGATGAAGCCCCGGCACTGGGAAGAGCTCATGGCGGTCACGCAGGTCAAGTTTGAAATGAACCTCAAGACGTTTACGCTCGGAAACCTCTTTGCGATGCAGCTGCATCGGTTCGCGGCCGAGATTGGCGACATTGTCAACGCCGCGATGCAAGAAGCCAAAATCGACATGGAGCTCCAGAAGATCGAGGACGTTTGGGCCAAAGCGACGTTTGAAGTCGCCAAATACAAGAAGAACGGGACAGACCGTGGGTGGGTACTCCGCACCGCCGACGAGCTCAAGCTCACGCTGGAAGATCACATGCTCAACCTCCAGACGATGAGCGGCTCGCGCTTCATTGCGAGCTTCTCGGACCGCGTCCGCAAGTGGGAGAAGAAGCTCAACATTGTCAACGAATGCATCGACGTGTGGTTTGTCGTGCAGCGCAAATGGATGTACCTCGAGAGCATCTTCATTGGCGCCGAAGACATTCGGCTTCAGCTCCCCGAGGAAGCCAAAAAGTTTGACGCGCTCGATAAGGCGTGGAAAGGCATCATGGCGGCCACGTACAAGAACGCCAACGCTGTCGATGCGTGTACGACCGACAACCGTACCGAGACGCTCCTCGGGCTCTCCGAGCGCCTAGACAAGTGCCAGAAAAGCCTCAGCGACTACCTCGACACGAAGCGGAATTCGTTCCCGCGCTTCTTCTTCATCTCCGACGACGAGCTCCTCTCGGTGCTCGGGTCGTCCGACCCGACATCGATTCAAGTGCACATGCTCAAGCTGTTTGACAACGTCAAGCTTCTAACGTTTGCACGCAACAACCGAAATGTGACGGCCATGGAGAGCTCGGAAGGCGAGGGCTTCACGTTCCGAACCGTCTCGATCGTCGAAGGGCCCGTCGAGCAGTGGATGACAGGGGTGGAAGACGAAATGCGTGCGACGCTCCAAGTGATTGCCAAGGAAGGCGTCTTTCACTACGCGCGGTCGCCGCGGACGACGTGGCTCGGCGACGTCCTCGGCATGGTCGGTCTCGTTGGCAGTCAAATCTGGTGGACGTGGGAGGTCGAAGACGTCTTTCATCGCGTGGCCGGCGGCAACAAATATGCGATGAAGGAGCTCGAAGTGAAGCTCACGGGGCAGCTCAACGACCTCGTGCGCCAGGTGCGCGAGCCACTGCCCAAGCAGACGCGCAAGAAGGTCAACACGCTGCTCATCATTGACGTCCATGCGCGCGACATTGTCGACGCGTTCGTTCGAGACTCGATCTTGCACGAAAAAGAGTTTGCTTGGGAGTCGCAGTTGCGCTTTTACTGGGACAAGGACGTCGACGACGTCGTAATTAAACAGTGCACCGGCACCTTTCGCTACGGCTACGAGTACATGGGTCTCAACGGCCGGCTCGTCATTACGCCTCTCACCGATCGCTGCTACATGACGCTCACGCAAGCGCTCACGTTCAAGCTTGGCGGGTCGCCCGCGGGGCCTGCCGGCACGGGCAAGACGGAGACCGTCAAAGATCTCGCCAAGTCGCTCGCGCTGCCGTGCTACGTCATCAACTGCGGCGAGGGCCTCGACTACAAAGCCATGGGAAGCATCTTCTCGGGGCTTGTCCAAGTCGGCGCGTGGGGCTGCTTTGACGAGTTCAACCGCATCAACATCGAAGTACTTTCCGTCGTCTCGGCGCAGCTGCGAGCGATCCAGAACGCGCTCAACACGGACAAGCCAACCGTCGACATTGGCTTTGGCACGGAAATCGCGATTCATCGCACGGCAGGTTTTGCGACCTGCGGCTTTTTCATCACGATGAACCCGGGGTACGCTGGCCGCACCGAGCTCCCGGACAACCTCAAGGCGCTCTTCCGCCCCGTGACGATGATTGTACCCGACTTGCTCATGATCTGCCAGATCATGCTCTTTAGCGAGGGCTTTGAGAACGCGGTCGCGCTCGCCAAGAAGATGACGGTGCTCTACAAGCTCTCGCGCGAACAGTTGAGCAAGCAGTACCACTACGACTTTGGGCTCCGCGCGCTCAAGAGCGTGCTCGTCATGGCCGGCTCTCTCAAGCGCGAGTACAGCGACATGAGCGAAGACCTCGTGCTCATGCGCGCGCTGCGTGACTCGAACATGCCAAAGTTTGTGTTTGAAGATGTCCCGCTCTTCCACGGCCTCATCAACGATCTCTTTCCTGGGCTCGACTGCCCGCGCGTGGGGTACGCCACGCTAAAAGACGCGATCGAAGCCGACTTGGATGCGGGCGAATACCGGACCACGGATGTCGCCGTCTTTCGCGAGCAAACGGACAAGATCATTCAAATGTACGAGACGATGCTGGTCCGGCACACGACCATGATCGTCGGACCCACCGGCGGTGGCAAGTCGCTCGTGCTGCAAACACTCGCGAATGCGTCCAAGGTCGCGCTGGACGAGGTTGTCAAGATCTTTGTCCTGAACCCGAAAGCGCAGTCGGTCGCTGAGTTGTATGGTACGATGGACCCGGTCACGCGCGACTGGACGGACGGCGTCCTCTCCAAGCTCTTTCGAGAGCTCAACCAGCCGCTGCCGCCGGGAAAAGAAAACGAGAAGCGCTGGCTCATCTACGACGGCGACGTGGACGCCGTCTGGGTCGAAAACATGAACTCGGTCATGGACGACAACAAACTGCTCACGCTGCCCAACGGCGAGCGCATTCGCCTTCAAACGCACTGCAGCATGATCTGCGAGACGTTCGACTTGCAATATGCGTCGCCGGCGACCATCTCGCGTTGCGGAATGGTGTGGGTCGACCCCAAGAACCTCGGGTACCGTCCGTTCTACGAGCGCTGGCTCAAGAAACGCACCAAGCTCGACGACAAAGGACCGCTTCTGGAGTTTTTTGACCAGTATGTGCCCAAGTGCGTCGACTACATCCTCGAGGGCACGGTCGGCGCGGAAGTCGTCGGCCGCCTCACGCAAGTGATTCCGATCTCCAACATGGAAATGTGCAAGCAGCTGACGAATGCGATCGACAGCTACTTTCCGGAGGCGCCTCTCGAGCGCATGGACATTGAAGGTCTCTTTCTTTTTTGCCTCGTATGGTCGCTCGGCGCCGCGCTCATCGAGCCCAGTCGCGTCCGCTTTGACGAGTTTCTCAAGACGATCGCGACCTGCGCGATGCCAACGCCGTCGCTCTACGCCTGCTTTTACAACGTGGAGACGCATAAATGGCAGACGTGGGACTCGCGCGTGCCATCGTACATTGAGCCAGCACCGTTCAACTTTTCCAACGTGCTCGTGCCAACGACAGACTCGGTCTTGTACTCGTACATTCTCGCGACAGGCATGAAGACAGAGCGACCCGTGCTCCTTGTCGGGGACTCGGGCACAGCCAAGACCGTGACGGTGACCAACTACCTCCGCGAACTTGACCCACAGACCACGTCGTCGCTCAGTATCAACTTTTCAAGCCGGACGAGCTCGGCCGACGTACTCGCCAACATCCAAGCCAACGTCGATAAGCGCACGGGCAAAATCTACGGCCCGCCTGCGGGCAAGAAGCTCGCCATCTTCATCGACGACATGAACATGCCCAAGGTCGACTTGTACGGCACGCAACAACCCATCGCGCTCCTTCACTTTGTCGTGAGCAAAGGCTGCATGTACGACCGCGGCAAAGATTTGGATCTGCGCATCCTCAAGGATTTGCTCTACATTGGCGCCATGGGCCCGCCAGGCGGTGGTCGCAACAACGTCGACCCGCGCTTCGTCGCGCTCTTCAACGTGTACAACTTGACGCCGCCGACGAAAGACGTTTTGCGCAACATTTACGGCTCGATTCTGACGACGTATCTGCGCAATTTTGCGCCGCCCGTGCAGGAGGCAGGCGCCAAGCTCACGGACGTCCTCCTGCGCCTCTTTGATGTGATTGTCGAGAAGCTGCCGCCGACACCGTCCAAGTTTCACTACATCTTTAATCTCCGGGACCTCGGCCGCGTCTGCGAAGGCGTGTGCATGGCGACGCCCGACAAATTCGACTCGTCGGCCAAGCTCGTGCGCCTGTGGCGCAACGAGGTCCAACGTATTTTTTGCGACCGCCTCACCAGCACGACCGACCTCGGCGTCGTCGAGACCGCGACCGCGAGCCTCCTCAACGAGGTGTTTCCGTCCGAAGCACCGGTCGCGCTCGTGGATCCTCTGCTCTTTGGGGACTATGCCGACTGCCGGAACCGCCTCGGCGGCGGTGGTGGCGAAGACCTCCGATTGTACCAAGACATGGACTCGTACAAGCGGATCCAGTCGATCTTTGAGGAAGTGCTCGAGACGTACAATCTCGACAACAAGCCAATGGCACTCGTACTCTTTGAGATGGCCCTCGAACACCTCTCGCGCATCCTGCGCATCATTCGCAACCCCCTCGGGCACGCGCTATTGATTGGCGTCGGCGGCAGTGGGAAGCAGAGCTTGTCGCGCCTCGCTGCGTTCACCGCGGGCTACGATCTTTTTGAGATTTTTCTCACGCGCGGCTATGGTGAGGCCGAGTTCCGCGAGAACCTCAAGGACCTGTACCGGAAACTCGGCAAATCGCCCGTCGTCTTTCTGTTTACGGACGCCCACGCGGTGGAGGAAGGGTTCCTCGAGTTCATCAACAACATGCTCACGACCGGTATCGTCCCGGCGCTCTTTGAGCAAGATGAGAAAGACCAGCTCGGCGCCACGGTCCGGCAAGAGGTCAAGGCGGCGGGTTGATCGAGTCGAACGAGAATTGCTGGAAATTTTACGTCCAGCGCTGCCGCCAGAACCTGCACGTCGTGCTCGCCATGTCGCCGTCGGGCACAACGCTGCGCGTGCGCTGCCGGAACTTTCCAGGCCTTGTCTCGGCGAGCGTCATCGATTGGTTCTTCTCGTGGCCCGAAGACGCGCTTCGGAACGTGGCGCGCTACTTCTTGCTCGACGAGAAGATTCCGGAAGAGCACCGGCCCGAGGTTGTGAACCACCTCGTGCACGCCCATTTGCGCGTCGTGACGGTCGCGCACCGGTTTGCGGTCGAGTTGCGCCGGCACTACTACGTGACGCCGAAGAACTACCTTGACTTTATCGCCAACTATCGGCTGCAGCTCAAGGAAACAATCAAAAGGTCAACGCCAGTATCGCGCGCCTCAAAGGCGGCTTGACCAAGCTCGTCGAAGCAAGCTTGGCCGTCGACCGCATGCAAATCGAGCTCAGCGAGAAGAAGATCATTGTCGACGAGAAGACGGTCGCCTGCGAAGCGCTCATCAAAACGATTGGCGAAAAGTCGGCGATTGCGAGCAAGCAGCAAGAAGTGGCTGCGATTACGCAGATCGAGTGCGAGAAAGCGAGCGTCGTCATCGCCAAAGAAAAGGAAGAGGCCGACGCCGCGCTGCTCGAAGCGCTGCCGGCGGTGGAAGCCGCGGCTCAGGCGCTCCAGGACCTCTCCAAAGCCGACTTGACCGAAATCAAGTCGTTCGCGTCGCCGCCCGCGCTCGTCATGTCGGTGTGCATGTGCGTCCTGATCCTGCGGCCGACGGGCCAGGACCTCGACTTGGACTGGAAGGGCGCCAAGGTCATGCTCAGCAACCCGAACATGCTCAACTTGCTGAAGGAGTACGAGAAAGACAAGATCACGGCCAAAATGATCTCCAAGATCAAGACGTTCTTCAAGAACCCGGACCTCAACCTCGAAACGATGAAGTCGATCTCGAAAGCAGGGTCCGGTCTCCTGGTGTGGGTCATTGCCATCGTCAAGTACTACGACGTCGCGCGCAACGTCGAGCCGCTCAAACTCAAAGTCAAAACGATGGAGAAAGAGCAAGCCGTCAAGGAACAAGAGCTGCTCGAGCTCAAAGAAACACTGGAGCGGCTCACGGTCGATCTCAACGGACTCTCGTCGGCGTTTGAAGCCGCCAACGGCGAGCTCCAGGGTCTGAAATCCCAAGCCGACCAGATGCAAAAGCGATTAAGCGCCGCGAGCAAGCTCCTCTCGGGTCTTGCGAGCGAAAAGACGCGATGGACCAAGGACATTGAGAGCTTGAACCTCCAAGGCGAGCGGCTCATTGGCGACTGCCTCCTCACTGCGAGCTTTCTCAGTTATGCCGGCGCCTTCAGCTTTGACTACCGCTACGAACTGATCTACGTCGACTTTTTGAGCGACGTGACGGGCCGGAAGCTACCGGCGACGGACCCGTTCAAGCTCGAGAGCTCGCTGACCAACGACGCAACTGTGCAAAAGTGGGTCGCGGAGGGCCTCCCGGCGGACGAACACTCCGTGCAAAACGGTATTTTAACGACCAAGGCATCGCGCTTTCCGCTGTGCATTGATCCGCAGCAGCAAGCAGTCACGTGGATCAAGCGACGCGAAGAGAAGAACAACTTGACGGTCAAGACGCTCAACGACGGCGATTTCATGAAGCATCTCGAGCTTGCCATCCAGTTTGGCAACCCGTTCTTGTTTGAGGCCGTCGACGAAGAGCTTGACCCGATTTTGGATCCCGTCCTCGAGAAGAGCACCTTCATGGAGGGCTCCCAGCGGCTCATCAAGCTCGGCGACAAGAACGTCGAGTGGGACGCCAACTTTCGACTCTACTTTACGTCCAAGCTCGCCAACCCGCACTACTCGCCCGAGGTCATGGGTAAAACCATGATTGTCAACTACTCGGTGACGCAAGCCGGTCTCGCCAACCAGCTTTTGAACGTCGTCGTCGCCCACGAACGCCCCGATCTCGAGGAGCAGTACCGAGAGCTCGTCCGCGACATGTCGGAGAACACGCAAATGATCGTCGAGCTCGAAGACACGCTCTTGCACGAGCTCTCGACGTCCACGGGCAACATCTTGGACAACGAAGAGCTCATCGTGACGCTGGACGAGACCAAGAACAAGGCGACCGAGATTGGCTCGAAACTCGACATGAGCAAGTTTACAAAGGACGAAATCACAAAAGCGCGCGCCGTGTACACGCCGGTCGCGCTTCGCGGCAGTATCATGTACTTTGCCATGTCGTCGCTCTCGACCATCATGAAGATGTACGAGATCTCGCTCACGTCGTTCCTGACGGTCTTCAACTCGGCCCTCGACAGCGCCAAGCGCGACGTGGTCTTGGAGAAGCGCCTCCGCTTTATGATCCAAAGCATCACGGAAATGATGTACGATTACACGTGCACCGGTATTTTTGAGCGCCACAAGCTCATGCTGTCGTTCCAAATGACCGTCATGATCATGGCGAGCGCCAACGAGCTCGCGCGGCCGGAGCTCGATTTTTCCTCAAGGGTGACACATCGCTCGAGGCGGCGGGCGTCAACAAGCCGGACGACCTCGTGTGGATTGCTGCCGCCGGCTGGAAAGACCTGCTCTGCCTCACCAAGATGGGCGGGCCGTTCGAAACGCTGTTGAGCGACGTCATGACGCACAAGCGGGCCTGGCAAGAGTGGTACGAGCTCGAGGCGCCCGAGCAAAGTCCGTTTCCGTGTGACTATACAACCAAGCTCTCGCCGCTCCAGCAGCTTCTCATTTACCGCTGCTTTCGCCAAGATCGCGTGTACAACGCGATGAAGCTCTTTGTCATGGCCGTGCTCGGGGAAAAGTACGTGCAGCCGCCGGTCTTGGACTACGCGCGGATTTACGCTCAGAGCGCCCCGACAGCACCAATTGTGTGCATTTTGAGTCCCGGCGCCGACCCACAGAGCGACATCCAGACACTCGGCGAGGCCACGGGCTTCTCGGGCCACAAATTCAAGTTTTTGGCGCTCGGCCAAGGCCAAGGACCGCTCGCCGAGCAGATGCTCGAGGCGGGCTACACGCGCGGGCACTGGGTGTTGTTACAAAACTGCCACTTGCTCGCGAGTTGGCTACGAACGTTGGAGAAGACGCTGCTGGCGATGCACAAGCCCCACAAGGACTTTCGACTCTGGCTCACGACCGAGCCGACGGATCGGTTTCCGCTTGGCATCCTCCAGCGGTCCCTCAAAGTCGTGACCGAGCCGCCGGACGGGCTCAAGCAGAACATGCGGTCGCTCTACTCGAAGCTCGACGAGGCACTCCTCGACGAGTGTCCGCACCCAGCGTTCAAACAAGTCGTGTTTGTCCTGTGCTTCTTGCACGCCGTCGTGCTCGAGCGCCGAAAATACGGCAAAATTGGCTGGAACGTGAGCTACGACTTTAACGAGTCGGACTTCAACATCTCGCGCAAGCTGCTGTCGCTCTATTTGCACAAGGCGTTTGTCGACGGCGACGAGCAGCTGCCGTGGGGGTCCCTCAAGTACCTCATTGGCGACGCCATGTACGGCGGGCGCGTCTCGGACGACTATGACCGGCGCGTCCTCACGACGTATCTCTCCGAGTACATGGGCGACTTTCTCTTTGACGACTGCCAGCCCTTCTTCTTTAGCCGGTCCGGCTTTGACTACCGGCTCCCATTGGACGGACCGCTCGAGTCGTACCTCGCGACCGTCGAGGCGCTACCGCTCACCAATTCGCCGGCCGTCTTTGGCTTGCATCCGAACGCAGAAATTGGCTACTACACCAACATGACCAAGTCGGTGTGGCGCGACCTCATCTCGCTCCAGCCGCGCTCGGCGGGCAGCGGCGGCGGCATCTCGCGCGAAGACTACATTACGAACATCGCGACCGACATCGAGTCCAAGGTGCCCGACGCCGTCGACGTGAATTTGATCCGGAAGCGGCTCGGGGGCACACCGACGCCGACCCAAGTCGTGCTGCTGCAGGAACTCGACCGCTGGAACGTGCTCATCGCCAAGATGGCCACGTCGCTTGGGGACCTCCAGAAGGCCTTGATTGGCGAAATCGGCATGAGCGACGAGCTCGACGCGGTCGGGTCGGCCCTCTTTGATGGGTTCTTGCCGAATATGTGGCGGAGTCTTTGCCCGAAAACGGAAAAGCCGCTCGGGAGCTGGATGGTCCACTTCATGCAGCGGTACGCGCAGTACATGAGCTGGATCGAGGCCGGAGACCCCGCGGTGATGTGGCTCTCGGGCCTTGGCATTCCGGAGAGCTACCTCACGGCGCTCGTCCAGACCACGTGTCGCGCGAAGAACTGGCCGCTCGACAAGAGCACGCTGTATACGACCGTGACCAAGTTCCGCGCCGCGACCGAGATACCCTCGAAGCTTGACTCGGGCTGCTACGTCTCGGGGCTCTACCTCGAGGGCGCGTCGTGGGACCTGGAGCAGGGCTGTCTCTGCCAGCAGCAGCCCAAGAAACTCGTGGAAGAGCTCCCGATCCTCCAAGTGATTCCGATCGAAGCGAGCCGCCTCAAGCTCCAAAACACGTTCCGGACACCGGTGTACGTGACGCAGTCAAGACGCAACGCGATGGGCGTCGGGCTCGTCTTTGAAGCCGACCTCTTTACGAGCAACCACATGTCCCACTGGGTCCTCCAAGGCGTCGCGCTCGCGCTCAACACGGACTCGTAGTCGATCGAGATAGGACTTCGTCCAATATTACTATGTACAAATGTTACCGCTTACTCGGCGTTGCGCAGCGCAAGCCCGACGCGGTGGCGCTCGGCCTGCTTGGCCTCGAGCTCGGCTAGTCTCGGTGAGGCAATGACGGCAACGGTCCAAGCAGCGTACCTTTCTTGGCCTTGACCAGCAGATCGCGCTTCTGGACGAAGAAGACATTGCAGCGCTGGACGTACGTCGCCTGCACAACGCTGATGTCGGCACGGCAGGAGCATGGGCCTACCTTCTTGGGCTTAACCGAGTCGAGCTCCGCCAGCGCCACGTTGAGGTTCTGGATCTACACATGGGCGTGAGCTTAGCGCGCGTCGGTCGCAGCAGCACGCACGTCCTTGTCGAGGGCTTTGGCGTCCAGCGCCCACTTGTCCTTGAGCATGCTGCTGTTGCTGCTGTCCATCGCCGCTTCTTCAAGTGGACCCTATGATAAATGTGGCAGATGCCACCTAGGAGATATCCTATCTAGGCACTTCTTAAAAAAGGATATCATCATGTATATAATGTATACCATACAAAAAGAGAGACATTGGGTTACCATCACTCTGGTCACGATCCGCGCTGTCTTGGCATTTGTATCGGACGCCAAGAAGATTACTTGGCCAAAGATCAGCGCCAGAAGCATGGACATGGACGCAACGACCTTCTTCGCCGCTCTCCAGGACAGCGACGACGTGCTCGTCTTGCTCATCATCTGCGCTTTCGCCGTCGTAGGCTTGGCCATCGTCCTCTGCTTCGTCTCGCGCTGCTGCGTCTGCCTCGGCGACTGCTGCGAGTGCCTCCGCCGGTGCATCTGCCAGCCCAAGAAGCCGCACGCCGCCCGCGTCTCACTCTTCGTGCACCAGCAACGGCGAAGCGTGCGCGATGTGGACGCCGACTTTATGGAGCCGTTCCTTGGACCGCCCAACTACGATCAGCCCTACGACGAAGCGAGCCCGCCACCATATCGCAACCTGCCGTCGGCGCCTCCGCTTTCGCCCTAGCGATGCGATCCATGTCACGTGGTCGTAATGAAGTAATCGTTTTATGAAGCTGTCGACGGCGCGGCAGGTGGCTCTTGGTGCATGCGCCAGACCTATACAGAAGGGCCTCAGTCGCGCAACGAGAAGCGTGGCCGTACTTGGGCGAGAAGCTCATAGACGCGGTCAACGTCCGATGGCAGCGTGAGCTTGACGGCGTCGCCACTGACCAGCGCGAGAGAGATGACGCTAAGCCCGAGCACGACCGGCTTTTCAATCCTACAGCTAGAGTGAGGATCGACTCATGTAATGGCCAATGCCAACTTGAGGATCGCCTCGAAAGGGAGGTCCTTCGTGGAGGCAAACATAAACATGCCACACTTGCAGACGACGCGTCTAGTAGTATTCGGCATGGAACCTTCCAGCGCCGAGAGCCTTACTCGAAAGTGATGAAGAGCTTGGACGGGACCTTTCCGACCATGCACGCGCCTTCAAACAAGACGACGCCGTCGCCGTACTCGCTCGACCTACGCCGCCCTTGATTCCGGCGAATGTACATACATCGATGCGCAGGCGTCTACCCGAGCGCGGTCTGCAGCGAATGAGCGTCTTGGGCCGTGGCACTAGGCGCAGGTCAGCCCAGGATGCGACCAGCCTCGGCGTACCTCTCGACGACGCTGGCAATCGCAGTCGCCGCCAGCGCTTTCGCGAACGTCGCGCGGCGCGTGACTTGCGCTTGCTTCTCTGCGAGCTTGGCTTGGATGCCGACGCGGTTCCGGGTCGCCATGCTCTCCCAGAGACCGTGCACGAGCCGCGCGACCTGCTCTCCGCGCGAGAGCGTGCTAGTCGACGCGGCCTCTTTGGCTTCTTCCGTGTCGGGCGACGTGTCGGCGAGGTCGAGCTGGCGCCGCGACGTCAACGACGTTGCACTCTCGCGCCGAGGCTTTGGAAGGTTGTATTTTGTAAAGAGCGGCTCAAGGAGACTCAGCACGTGGGCACAGGCAAGCTCTTGGGCGTGCGCGTACTCTTCGAGCGGCAAGGCCAGCTCCCGCAAGCTCGCCTTCATCTCGCTACAGCACGGCGCATGTGAGACGCCATCAAAGCATACATAGGAACGAACGTGTCAAAGGCGCGGCGGACGTTGGCGACGTAGTCGGGGTCCAGCGCGACCAAGTCGTCGCCTACGCAGACGGTCATGACGTGTGTCGGCAAGAGACTCAGAGTACTCGTGTCGTCGGCATCGCAAAAGGCCGGCGTCGAGAGCATGGCCAGTGCATACCCCACTTCGACGAGCGCGGTCCGGAGGCGGTCGAAGAGCGCGTCGGCGCGGTCGTGCAGCGCAAGCTTCGACGCGGTGCTCAGCGTCGGCGTGCCGCCCGAAACGCCCACGTACAGACGCAGCACGCGAAGCTTGGACTCGGACACGCCAAGACACGAGAAGACGTGCTCCGTCTTGGCCGGAAAGAGCGCGATCGCCGACGTCTGCAACGTGGACGTCGCCGGCTCGATGACGACATTCGTGAAGAGCTGGGCACCGCGGGCCATGGACGCATCGGCGTCGCTCACCTTGAAGCCATCCGTGAGCACAATGGTGGCAAGCAGCTCCTGGATAGCCGCCATCGCCACGTCCGGGCGCAGCCGGGCTTCGAAGATGACCCACTCCTTGGCGGCGACGGGGCAGTCGCGCAACCTAGTCTTGGCGGCCTCGAGATCTTCCGGCAACGGCGCAGATCCGGCGAGCGGCGTGAGCTTTGTAAAGTCCGGGTGCGTGGCGTAGACGGCCGGTGCGAGCGATGCATCTGTCAAGATCTCGTTGGTCTGCTGGGCCAAGGCGCTGAGCGAGAGCGCGTCGGAAGGCGCTGCGAAGGCCATCGACGGCGCCTGCAGCATCTTGCCCGCGTCGACGCGCCCGCTGCTGCCGTCGTCCTCGTCGTCGCGCTCGGCGAGGCCAAACTCGGACGCTTCCTCGTTCATCATCTTGCTGTCTGCCATGCTGCTGCGCAAGATGGACGTGCCAGAAATAGGCTGGATCTTCCCTCAAAAATAATAATAAGGTGCACGGTTTTTTAAATATGTTCTTTAACTCCACAAAGGTATTTTAAATACCTCTCTCGGTTAAAAGAACGCGATCTTGGCGATCTTGATGATGGAGGGCGGACCACCAAGACCAACAATTTGCACCGCTACGTCTCGACGTGTAAACACCGCCGCTTGCTGGTCCGAGGCTCGATCCCACGACCTTATTTCTTTCAAGCTCCGCTCACCCAAATCCGCACCATTTCAAAAATGCTCATGGAGCAGACAACGCGAGCGCACCGTCGCCGTTGGAGCTGGCAATAATACTACATGACCAGCTACATGACAGTGCTCCGTGGATTAAGAAAGGACGGTTGGCTCGGAGCGTACGTCAAGTTTGTGGTTGCAACAAGCTAAGCTAAGAGCTCAAAACTGCTTCGGTCGCTCGGTGAATCTCACATCTATTCACCGTGCGAAACACCACGTATTCTATTGCTTGCAGTGGTGCGGACACCAGTGGTGCAGACACCAGTAGTGCAGTGGTGCGCGCAACTACAGTTGTAGCTCGGTGGTCCCATCGTGCTCGTGCTGCACGTACATGAGGTAATCGAACGCCGTTGTTGCTGGCTTTGCTGGACAACCGCTCACGCGCCTCGTGCATAGCAAAGGCTTTGCGTCGTGAACGCAACCTCAGCTACCGAACCTACCCTTGAGACCACTGCGATGAACGTTGCTGTTGCATGCTTGGAAGACAGGGCAGTAGCAACTCGTCTCGCGATCTCTGATAGGTCAAAAGTCATGGCATTTCTACTTGCACCATTTCCGAAAAGGCCAGCATGGGGATCGAGAGCGTGGCCTGGTCGCTGCCGCTGCGCGTCGCGATGGCCGTCGCCTTGGCCGCGATGCTGATCGTCAATGGCATCCACAGCGTCAGCGGCGACATGCGCAGCGTGGCGCTGGC